ACAACACGCAGTGGTCACGCTGTCCTTGATTAGCAACCTGCCGGTAATAGCAAATGCCGGCAGAATTACAAAGTCTTACAAGTCCAAAGGATCTCTCATAGATTACCCATCAGCTTTGATTTTTAGGAAACATGGAAACAAGCTGGCTGGAAGCTGACCTGAGAAAGATGGATTAAATGTGTAATAACACAGTAGATGATACGTGACTGGTATTTGTGTGGTTTCAGCTGTTTCTGTTGTCCGCAGTGCGTCCACTGTCCTGCCAAGTGAGTGTTCGCCTGGAGCCAAAGAAATCCTGCTCCACCCTGAGTCATAAACAGACAATTAGTTCCTACTACAGCATCATTGAAACGGATGCTATAGGTGCGCTTGCCTTTTTGAAAACACTGTGAGTTTTGTTTCATAAAAATGTTACAACAAATCAGTGTCTCTTGATCGGCCCCCTGGTGGCTGGCTGCAGTAGACTATAGGTCATGTGTGAGTGGATCAGACATGGATCAAAGTTAAAGTACACATTAAATAAATGTTTCTTTACAGATTTTTGCTGTCTCTTATCACACTGATGTGTGTTATGTGGTTCATTTTTCTAGGTAGTTTGGTTTTCATGGTTAACAGTTGAGACTGACTTGTGATGGGTGGAGTGCATGTATCAGTGGGACCTCGATACCACAAGTGCAAGATGGCAGCACCCATATCCAGGAGGTTTCAGCTGCATTTTTGTGAGGGGAAGTTAAGATGCATCGTCCATCTTGATATACAATCTATGGGCTGAATGTTTCAAGCCTCTGGGTGTGGTGATGTGTGGTCAGCACCTGTAACCAGACCCAACAATGACAGGTTAAAACAGGTGAGTGGGTGAAGATAAGAAGAAGATAACCTAGAGCTGAGCAAAACACATATTTGAGGGGTGGTAATTGCTTATTAAATTTTAAATTATTAAAATACTTATACACTCAATACTTTAAAGCCCCAATAATAATAGACTGTGTTCCACCTTGACACCACCTTGTGGTAGAATCCAACTTGTTACCTGTGGCAGGCAGAACTGACCTGACCTGCAAGATACCTGAGATGTATGGGAACAAAGCAACACACAGACCTGGAGTTTAACTGGGAATTACAGTTGTTTCTACCAGTAAAATGAATAAGAATGGTTCAGTTCAAAATACTTTATGTTTCCCTTCAAAGGAAATTTGAAACAGAAGTGCACATGGACTTACCCTTATAAAAAATAATGTCAGTACATATTGTAATGATTTGAGAACCGAGCTGAAGTACACAAGGGTTAATGCCAGTAGCTAATCATTTGCTGGCTTCAGTAGCACAACTTGACCTTATACAAATTTTAATGGCTGATTGCCCACAACTTTGTATCATAGCTGTGCTTTGTGCATTTATTTCAACATCCATTTGTTAGTCTGCTTCTCTGTCTTTCAAGACCAGGACACCACGTCCCTGTCGAACAGTCACCTGCACCATTGTTTCCTGCAGAAGATGACAAAGCAGACTGATGCAGGTATTGATTTCTGACAATTACAATGTTAAGTGTATTAAGATGTTAGGATATGGGTAAATACTTCAAGTATTTACACTATTGTTGGCTTAAATAGCTTTAAGCATTTTGAATACTGATCATGTTGGCTTAGACAAATCTCCAGAGCAAAACAGAGATAATTCTATTTCAATATACACATTTTCTTGAAGTAGAAGTGCTTTAAATAAAACTGGCTTCAAAGTCCAATTTAAACACAAGTGGCTCTTGACACCGACGAAGCTGAAACCTGCTGTATGTTTTAAGTTCAATAAGCCCTTTAAAGTGAAAAGAAAAATGTGATGAAATTACACAAATCAAATATATTTCTTATTATAACTTGTCTGGGGGGAAAGAATCGAACACATACACATCAGTGCAGATTGAAAATGAAATGAAAACCCTGAATAAATGTGTTAACAGGGATGGGCAAAGTTACATCCAAATGTGTTTTGAAATCAAATACCAAATACTTAAAAACAGCAGCCATGCCTCGTATCAAATCAACTACTGTATTTTTCAATTTTAAAAATGTCAAAAAACACTTTTCCAAGTAAAGCAGGAAATCACATCGCAAACTATACATATACAATCAAAAAGAAAATAGAAAATACATTCAGTGAGAGTATGATACAAACCTTTTTCTGACAATGTCGTCTTATTTTGAGTAGCCTATACTTTTGAGAAATACAAAGAATGGGATTTAACTGACTATTTTGATATCAAATATGATTCAATTTTCATCAAACCTATCAATTACAGATTATAAAAGACTATTTTATATATTAAATAGATGTATCATAAATACTGTCCATCCCCGTGCAATGCAGATGCTTCAGCACAGTGCAACAGAGTTCACTGAGTGGATGTGCAGTTGGGCTGACTGGGCCTCCAGGATGTTAGTTTTTCCTTCATTTTGTCATCTATGTGTAGATTAGACGCTACGTTCCTCCCACCTCCTCTGGAGTGAGTTCAGTTTTTATGCACTTGAATAGAACCTGGCCCTGGTTTCACTGAGTTGTATTCAGTGTTGGGAAAGTTGCTTGAACATTTTTATCAACTTACGCATTAGTCGTCGATGGAGCAGCCTCAAAGGTGCTTTACAACACCTTTACACCCACACATCTCATATTCATTATTTAATACTGGCAGAAACAGAAAACACCATAAACCTTAGATTTCAACAGGCTGCTGCTTGGAGTATTTATTGATCATTAACAGGAAGCCTTGTCCTGGGTCTATAAACTGGTCCTCCAGCTGCCAGGTTAACACACCATCCACCTCTGAACAAAACTACCTGGTTCCTGAATGTATCCTGTAGCTAATGTTCCTAATAAATTCAAAATGATCAGGGGCCATATTTCTACTGGCTTTATAGAGGCTAACTGCCTGCAAGGCATTATGGGGAGTAATCTGAATTTCAAATTGTATTCCTTTACTCTACTCATGACTGGAAAGGTAATCACATTAAAGTAACAATAGCCTTATGCATTTCCCAGCACTGGTGGTATGTTTGTTAAATCTGCAATAACCGACTTTCTAATCAATATATAGCTTGTGAATACAACACTGGAATCTGGGCATGAGGCATTAAAGTTAAATTAGCTCTCTGGACCTGTGTAGCTCACTCCTCATCTCTGCTCCAAGATAATGGCTGTACGGTCACTTCAGCTGCTATGAACTTTTATATGTAACTAATACATTTATTATCAATAAAAATAACATGAAAGCACAGACAATATGTCAAATGTGCAACAAACATTGATGAAGGAAGGACGGCTTCAGCTTCCTCAACAAGTAATGCTGGTTTAAATGTGTGTGTGTTACATTTAGGTTAAAGGGATCTAAAAAATCCAGGTGATGTATTCAATAACATGTAATGATTTAAATTATACGAAGTGTTTTCTTTACCCTAGAATGGGCCCTTTATATTTAAATACCATAAAAACTCAAAAGGTTTTTGTCCAGTTTGGACTAATGTAAAAAAAAATGGCGGCCTCCGTAGAGAGGATCCGTTCCCTCTGTAAATATAAATTATTTGAATATAAAGCCCCCACTCAGGTGTAAAGAAAAACAACAATTTAGATGATTACACATTAGTAAAAACATCACTAGGATTATTTTATATTACATTTATGCAATAGATCCCTTTCACCTAAATCTTACACACTGGACCTATAAGTACTGACATCATACCCAAATATCAGCGTTAGTTAAATGTAATTTGGTGAAAATTGATGCTAACAGTCGCTAGCTTTGGTCACAACACAAGCAGCTCAGGCTGTTACAGTTACAACCAAATCACCACGGTAATTACGATAGTCATTTAAGATTAAGATGGTTCAACGAACCATCAGGAAGTTTAACACGGTACACTGTGAAACTAGGGAAGTTTCATCTCTATTCCCAAATACATTTTTAGCAAAAACAGAAAGTAGTTGACTTTAAATAAGCCTAAAGCTTCTGAGGCCCCTGGAGCTGTGGTTATCCATTCACTGCATATATAGGCCTATACTAATGAAATGACATTGTCTTATCATGTAGTGCTAACAGTGTCGTGTGACCTTGTGTGTTTTGTATAGAGGCTTAGGATAATTACTGTACAGCTTTATCACACATAAAACCCTTCTTTTGTGAGGCACTGACACGGTTTAATACAATCAACAACAGAAACCCCTGATCAGTGAATTAATTATATCAAACCCAGCTTGCCTTTCAAAATAATAGGCGACCCTGTCTATCTCACAGACACAATGGGGAACTGATACCTCCCCATTATTGCTCTCCACACAGGAGTTCCCATCATTTGTGTTTGCAGCTGTGCTGCGGCACAGGGCGCGCTGGCCTTTGTGCCAGTAAATCCCATCAACTCTGTATGCTAAGGTGAGGTGGGGGCTCAGGCCATGTGTTGTTAGAAGAGTGGACTTGAAGTGATGAAATCAAAGGGATTGTGCCATCCTGATGACACTGGAGGAAATAACAGCCTCTCTGATGTAGTTGCAGGGCTCTTTAAATATTTCATTAAGAAAGGAGGAGATGGAAGCTGGCTTCAAAATGCCATGTGCTCACTTTGCTCACCAACATTGTAAAAGCATTTTAAAGATGGTGATGGTGTTATGTCATGCTGTTGCCTCATTTCATGACAACAAGCACTGACACATAGGTCTAATGCAGCTGCTGTGGAAACACTGAAGGAGTGTGTCACCTTGTTGGCATTTCCCCTGCATGTGTATTTATGTTAAAGAACTTGTTGACGGACAGGGACATTTTTGCAGGACTGACACAAGCTTTTGTGTTTTGTTTTCTGGCTTTACGCATTCATTCCTCCCTGAACACACTGACTGTACGCGTGCATGTGCGTCTTCCTCCTCCTGCCTCCCTGCATCTGACAGCGTCCCTCCCTCTTTCTCTCTCTCTCTCTCCTCCTCCTCCCTCTGTCATTAGGCTTTTCGCCGGCTCAACACACCGACACACTCCCTTCCCCTTAAACCCGGAGAATAAACACGGAGCAGGAGCAGGACTAACCTCCCCACTCGGTGCGCACCATCCATGGTCCTCTCCTGGACGCCTGTTTGACAGGAGGGTATGTTGAAAGATTCCTATCTTTTTCCTCCCCTGCCAGTTTGCTGGTGTCCGAATAAGCGCAGCCTCGACTGTCAAACGATTTGTTGAATGTGGGATTTTAATTGTCGAAGTATTTCTCATTTTTACGCGTAATAATTCGTCCCTGATTGCGGCGCGGTGTTATTATACTCTCTGTGCGTTTGGCTGCTGCAGTGAGCAAAGCTTGTACGTGTTCGAGCTGTAGCTCTTCAACACACCATCATTTTATAACGCGCACGGACTTTGCTCACTTGCTTGCCGACCTCTACCGGGGGATGAATAATATTGTGGGACTGAAGCAGGCGCAAGTTGTAGCGTGGTTTTGTGGCCCAGTGACTCCAGTCAGGGCTGACAGCAGAGATCTGCAGACCTGCAGCCAAGCGGCCAAACCTCCTCCTGCTCCTCTCTACCTGTGTCACAATAGACATGATCTTCTCACTACACAGCAACACTTTCATTGGGGAATTCCCAAAGGTCGCTCAAAGTTGTGGCTTCAGAAATCAGCTGTGTTGTGTGTGTGTGTGTGTGTGTGTGTGTGTTTATGTGTGTGTGTGTGTGTGTGTCAGGTTGCTGTCCGGGAAAACTGGATCTGCCATTAGCTCAGTCACTGTATTCACACACACCCATCACTGTAATTATACAACAGCCACACTGACTGATACACACCAACGTGAGGACTTGCACAATGCTGCCATCGTCACACCCTCTCTTCAGCAGCACCTCTGGCACAAAGTGGTCGAGCTTTGTCACAAACTCAAGGGGATTTGTAGTTTCTTTTTGTTAACTCACTGTGACTCAGCCTGTCGGTGTAAATGTTGTGAAAATACAGACTTCAGCGGAGGATTGTGGAGATATTTAGCAGCAGTTTTTCACGTGCATGCTCAGACAGGTCCATGTATGGAAATGGCTTCACCTTTGCTCCCCTCCTGGCTTTCCACTAGTTTTGTGGAATCACATACAGTGCTGAAGAGGAATGTGTCAGCAACGCACTAGTCGACCTAAGGATGCTTTGCTGGGACTGTTCTCTGTGGCTGTGCACCCTATCTAGCTTGCTCCAACTGTATTTCAACCTATAGCTGCTGTCAGACATGCATTGAACTTCCTGTATGTGAAAACGCAAATCACCAAGTCAGTTGTAAAGGACATTCTCTGGAGTTTGTCCAGCAAGTCCTCTAGTAATGTCCGAATGAGCCCATGTGAGAATATGTTATATTTGTCAGTTTTTCACCTGCATGCTCAGACAGGTCCATGTATGAAAATGGCTTCACCTTTGCTCCCCTCCTGGCTACAACCAGGATACATCCTCTGTAGGAGGCACCGCAAGTGAAAAACAAGGATACAAACATACAAACATCTCAGTATGAAGAAGTGAAGCCATACAATGAGACGACACAGACAAAGATGTCAACTTGGAAAGATGATGTGCTGCTAACAAGAACACATCATCTCCGCAGCGAAATGTATACGTCAGTTACGTCCTGCTTCCTGCATGCTGCGCCACGGTCTGGGCATATGTCTCGTGTCATCTCCTGAGTATGTGAAAGGCAAACTTAATTAACTAAACTAAAATTTCAGAACCATTTCCAGCAATGTCCTATGAAGAGTTATCCTTAAAACTGCTTTTTATTGACTCCTAACACATCTTACCATGACATATTTGTTATTTGTTAAGGTGCTAGCATAGGCTCAGCACCTCTGCAGCGTACTGGCCTTCGATCTGTCGGCTTGTAGTACTTGGTCACACTCTTCCTCCAGGGTGCACGCTGTCAGCCTCAGCTGCCAGACCTGGTGTCACGCTGCATCACTGTCGTCAACATAGGACACACTCCTGTGCCTGCTTCGTCATCAGCCTGCCTCCCCTCTGAGTATCACCTGATGCTCCTTCCCCCTCCTAACAGCCAGGAAGCCATTACATCATCTCAGCATGAGCATCAGTTTTTCCCCGCTGCTCATCAGTGTTTCGACACGAATTTGTGATCCCACAGAGTTCAGACACTGAAGTGAATCAAGGTTAACGAATATGTACAACTTCATTCATTGCAGCCTATACTGTATGTACACAAAGTCTCGCTCCTATAATGTGTATATGTTAGTGTTTGTGCGGGAGTTCCGATGCCCCAGGGTGCTGCTGGGATTTCAGAGCCCAGCATGCTGCCTACCACCATTTGCAATTCAAATGAGCATGTATGAGGCTTCTATTGAGGCTGAGCAGCCCTCCTCTCCTCTGGGTCTCATTGGAGCCAATCACTCCCTGTACTTGCAAGTTAACTCAACCATTTCCTATTGACTGTTCCACTGGAAAAACAGAGCGGTAGTTGCTTTCACCTAATGACACGGGACCAGAGAAGTATATTTTCAAGTAGCCATCTTAGTTTATTTTGTATGTACTGTTTCAGTATCTTGTCATAGGCATGGAATAAAGCATGTATGTGTTGGGTGACCCTGATGTTGCAGAAGCATGCAACAGGTACCGTGTGTGTGTGTGCGTGCACGTGACTGCATGTGCTGATGTCATAGCTGAATGTTCTTTGACCTCCCATGTTTTTGTAGCATGGAGAGCGTGGTCACATCTCTTCCTGTCTGCTGAACTCCACTCAACTGACCAAAAAAAGACACACAAAGAAACACACACCAACACACACACATAATGAGAACCTTCGCTGATACAATGCATTCCCTATCTCCTAACCCCAGGGCTTACACCCTTTTTAACTCAATTATTTTTGTCAAGTCATTTGTTATTTATTTTCTCTTTTAATGGCAGTGCCCTTTAAATTGCATACCCTCACACAAGGGCTATAAATGCATGCAAGCTCTAGATGTGGTATGGAAGACAAAAGCTGCTGCATAGGTATAGTTTATAAATTGTAGAAGATGATAATACCAATCACACGTCCACATTTACCAGAATTGATGGTATGTTACCTGTCTTCTTTAGCCTTCTTTATTACCACAACATGAGACACATTCAATCCTCTGATGCCATGAACCTGTTTTATTAGAACACAATTACTGTCTTGCTTGATGCAAGACTGAAATCTTTGAGGGCTTGATTTGCTGTTGCACCACACAGGGCAAATAATGGCTAACATATCCTGACTGTCAGTTGCTATTATAAGTAGAGCTTCAGAAATGCTGGATCTTAAATTTACTATAATACAACCCACTTGCTTTTTTGGACCTTCCCTTCCTGGTGAATGCCCTCATCTTAATCCACCATTCCACCATGTGGTGACAGGGCTTTTTCAGGTACCTTTCCTTCTCCATCATGGCTCAACAGTTGTTCCCCTCGTTTAAGGCTGATGTCTGGGCTGTGTTGGTGGGGCTGTATTCAGGGGAGGTGGGGCTGTACATGGATGTCCAGTGCATGAGAGATGAGGCTGGATGGATGCTTGGGTGAGCTCGGGAAGCAAGTTGGGAAAGGATATCTTAAACCTTTAAATCCACCCCAAGTCAAAAATGTAACCTGTCCTCTGAATCATAAAAGTAGAGAAGGACGTCCCGGGGGTTTGTCATGGACAACACACGTATCATTGTAAATATTAATTTTAACAAAGACCTCGGTATTTACAACTTTCAGTGTACAAATCAAAGAATGTTTACACACCATAGCTGATACCTGAAAGCTGATCACTTACAAGCACCACTGTGATATTGATTGTTGGCTGATACAGCTGTAATCGCAGCTCTCCAGTGGCCCAGTGCTCTGCAGCTTTATGTTTGTTTACCCAATGCACAGAGACTTAATCTTATTCTGTTTTACACGCTCTCTTTTTATGAGCTTTGTTTAGAGTGACCAAAAGAGGATCACACAACATTACAGCAGCTCAGTCCAGCGACAGTTCTCATTGTGGCTGTTGTGCTTTTGTTTTGTCGGAATTGTGCTGAGCCTCGTAGGGATGCTGCAGCCACTGCAGTCCTGTCAAAATCTTGTTACGGTGCCGGCTCGACCATCATATTGCCTCACTGCTTCAAAAGTGAGAGGGGCCATTGCCAGCAGCTATTTCCAGTTATCTGGTCCACCTCCCTCCTTCTACTGAGGATCTCTTCCCAAACCAATTGCAACCCTGTTGCCGTCTGTCTGATCAGGGCTTTATTTTTAGCTTTGGTTTTTACTCACACAGCTTTGGGCGATTTGTTGCCTTTCTCACATTGCATCATTCTGTCTGCACACTGTTGTGAGAGGAGAAAAAGAGAAGCCAGTCATTTGCCATGAGACGGTTTTATTTCACTGTTCTGTTTCCCACTTTCAGTCATAAAGCTTTCACATGATGGGATGCATCACTTTGTCCTTTCCGAAGGGGAGACAGAGAGCTTTTTCCATGAGCAGCGGCTCAGCTTGCCTCAGCCTGATGATAACAGTGAGTCAGCAGGTTCTCTCTTTCTTCCTCCCTCCTTTGCATACCTACACTCGTCTCCCTCGCTCCCTCTTGCTTTCTGCCTTCTTTGAACAAATCCCCTGACTCTCACGGATGAGACTCATCATGTTGTTGTCTGGCTTTGATCTGGTGCAAGGATACCCATAGTGCCACTCTTTTTTTTTTTGCTCCCAACATAAAGCAGCATCTAAATTTCAGGCAAAGTTGGTTCATGTGGGGAAAGACAACACTACATACTTCACTCCAGCTATTTTGCTGCAGTCTTCCAAAAAACCAAGCCAGCAGCTATTGTTTTCTTTTGGCCACTTAGCATTTAGCAGGCATTAATTAGAGCTTCTGAATTCAACAGTTGTGGAGGAAGGCTAATTCCATTGTTGATCTGTGCCCATTTCCCCGTCGATTACACTGCGCAATTGGCCGAGTCTCTCACATTGAAGAAAGCTGGTGGATTGAGGAAAAAATACGTATGTAAGGTTGATCTCATTGCAAATTATTTATAATTACATAAAACAAGACACAAAAATGGGATTAGGAAAGATTAGACTTGCAGAAAAGCAAAACAAAAAAACACAACAGCAACTATGCTTCCTTCTGCAGAATA